ACAATAAATCCCATTCATACCAGCCTGTTAGGAATAAGAACATTTATGATTTAAGTCCTAAAATAGTCTGTGAAGAGTACACATTTAAAAAAAAAAAGTAATGCTTCTATGAATGCTTGAAGTTGCATGTAGAAAAAAGTTATGCAGTCCACTTTGGGACTATTTTTGCTTGAAAACAGCTGCTGAATGTAAACAGCCAGTCCACATTTGATGCTGAATTAGCATAATTATTTCATAAGTTTAGAGAAGATCCATATGTATGATATCTGAGCACACTCTACACCAGACAACCTTTTACTGCTAAATGTCCAAATGACCCACCTGGGTCAGAGGCAGGCCCCTACCAGCACTTCTCCCCATAGCAGCATAGGGAGAGTGCCTGCTGCCAAAATACCACCTTCATGAGCCAGGTCCAATGGTCCCATGGATCCCATGAAGCTGACCCTCTTAACCTTTATACTTGTACATAGTATCTTTGCACCTGGGCATTTTAAAAGAAAGGACACTTGGTTCAGTCACCAGAAAGCTAGCCAGAAGCAGCTAACCTCAGTCTGAGTAGAGGGAGAATGGGAAGAAAGAGACCTAGCAGTCTTCAATCTTCTAAAAGATACTTTGTAATCAGCATTCTGGGACACAATTTGTGGCTGGAATTTGTCTTCCACTTGTCAGAAACTACTGACCATTATCACCACTCCACCAAAATAAAGTATACAGGAAGGGGAGGACCACTTAAGAATCACTGTTTTACTTTTAGCCAACCAGAGGAGCACCTCATCTGCAAAACACGATTAGCTATTACAATAAGCATTTCTCTTTGTTAACCATTCCTCCACCTCCCAAAAAAACAAGCCTAGGAAATTCACTAAGAGAAAGCTTAATTCATTTTGGAGTTTAATTTAAAACTGAGTTGAAGAGTGCCTGATAGCACTATCTTCCTTTCCAGAATATTGAATTATGAACTGATAGCCCAAAATTTCTGAAAATAAGGATACGATAGTAGTACCCTGTCCTTTTTGAGTAATGACCCAATTCAGACACCATGCACACACACATTTTCCAGAACACTCAGGGAGTAGGCCATAGAACTAGGCACCTACCTAAATCATGGTTGAAGTTCACGGTGCAGTGGCACCTTTAATCTTATTCTTTTTGCCATGCTCCTCTCCCACCCAAATGGCCAAGAGGCAAAAACCACAACATTAATTGCCTCTCAGCCACTTGGTGGCTAGGGGAAGGGCACAGCAAAACCAGCAATATTATACGATGCTGCTGCACCACAAACTTCTACCATGATTTAGGTAGGTCCCAACATGAGTCCTGTTAAGAGCCCAATGCCTTTTCTTTGCCAAGGCTAATTTTACATTTAGGTGACCTATTTTGAACAGAAACCAGCTACCTCTACTCTACATTCAAGTACTGAAACTAGTCCACAACCCCAATGCCATCTTGATTTTACAATACCTTCACCTTTACATGCAGGTGGGTTTTTAACGTTACACTTCCACATGCCAATAAGTCAGGGGTGTCAGACTCAAAGAAAGGAGGCACAGGGCCAGGCCATGAGCCAAAATAGACCCACAGACTGGTCCTGTGCGTGTCCTGGAGTAGTCAGAGTGGGTGCCACAGGCAGTGCAGTTCTACTGCAGCCACTCCAAGGCTGTACTGCAGCCTGGGAATCGCTGGCCAAGGCCACCCCATCCTGACCACTTCAATCACCTCCTCCATGTGTGATAAAGACAAAACAGCTGGTGCAACTCAGATGGCTGCTCACACCATCCCTGCTCTTGCCCCTGGGGCCCCAGAGGGGCTCATGGGTTGGGTGGAAGTCCTTCCTACCTCCCACAGGGCCAGGGGCACAGTGCCCAGACAGGGGAACAGGAGCTGAAAGAACACAAGCAACTACTAGCATGCAGCACTACCTTCCCTGCAACTGCCCCATGCTTCAAACACATGGTGCAATGACCCAAGGGGATTGTGGGGCACCTCAGCTGCTCTCCTTCTCAGGTTTCCTCTGCAGACACACCATGCCACATCCCATCTGCAAGGGAGGGCTCCTTATAGGCTCTGTTGTATGGCCCGGTGCCCCATCCAGCTCAATGGAGAAGCTGCTGCATACAACATGACCCAGTGGCATACAGCAGTTTTGAGGCCATGCTGAGGCATTGCTTGCCTGCTGATCGGGAGCAAACCACAAACAGGGCCCCTCCACCATCAGCAGTGAGGGGGGTTCACAGGGGAACCTGCAAGATTAAAGGACCAGCAGCGCAACCGGAGTGGCATCCGGGAACAACAGGCAGGCTGGACCAGGGAAACTCCCAGATCTTGGGGTGGTGACAGTGTGGGGCCAAGGCCTGGTGCAGACCAATGATCTACTGCCCACGTGGCCCTGTGATGGGCACAGATGTGCAGGGATCAGATCGCGGATCTGCCCCGTCCCTGCGCTGTCACTGCCCCACAGTCCTGGGGTCTCCATGGAGACCAGCCAGGAGCTGCACAGACAGGGCACATAGGCAGGAAGATGGGATGGGGCCATAGGCAGGTGGACAGTTGCATCTGGGGCCAGGGCTTAGGGTAGAGCCGCAATCTGCTTCCAGCGCACTCCTGCTTACGGAACCCGCATCCATCGCTTGGCCGTGTGGGCAGCAGGTTGTGGTTCTGCTTCAGGCCTTGCACTCACGCTGTCACCACCCCACGACCCTCTCCCACGATCCCATCCTTGTCACTACCTCTCAAGCCCATCCCCTTCCCAAAACCTGCAGCTCCATTCCATATATGGAGTTTTAGTGAGCTGCTGTGCATGAAAGGGCAGGGGAAGTGCTGACCTGACCTGTGACAGCTCAGCAAAATTTCCTATGTAGCCCACAAGCCCAAATAATTGCCCACCCCTCTCTTAAGAGGCTGGGGACCATACACCACATGGGGCCACAATACCAAGGCCATGGCCCTCCCTCACTTTCCTGGCTACAAGCTCCCCACCACACTGTGGGTGGGCAACTCCCCCACCTCAACTGTTGTATCATGTACATGGGGACCAGAACTGCAGGCTGCATGGGTCCACCCTGCAGTGCCCTGCCCCTGGCGAGAAAAGGGAGGGGAGCCCAGAGATTCTGGAGCAATGAGGGAAGTAGTGACCAGGAAGAGCCCAGGGGCACAGATTAACCCTTCATGTGCCTCATATGGCCCACAGCCTAGCAGTTGGACAGTCCTAGACTAAAATCACCCCTGGAGGTCCCTTCCAACTCTACTTCCCTATAACTTTGTGATTCATTCTTCAATAATAGCCACACTGTGAACACAGCCTGAGTAGATGCTGATAATTCCCAGTAACTACTGACAGTTCCAGGGTGGAAAAGTTAAAAATGCACAGAAAGGTTTGATTTTTGCTGAACCAATGTTCTGGATGGGCAGAACATGGGCAACCTAACCTCTGTGTAATAAAGCTGCTAGTCTCTTCACTTTCTAATTTAAGCATTTGAAAATATATCTTTTCAAGATAAACTAATAAAAGGCACTTTTCCCAGTTTCAAAATAGCTTCAATATCTCTTCTGCTGTTAGCTTGTAGTTAGCAGCAAAATGAAACAAATAAGACTGGTCAGTTTCTCTTCTTTTAATTAGGGGTGCACCAATAAAGATTTTCTTGGCTTATACTGATAGCCAGTTATTCACCATCAGTCAATACCACTCCGATAACTAATTTACAGAAATACAGCAAGGCAGCATGGAGAGCAGCTCCCTGCAGGTATGTCTGTGGAGGTGAAGGGGCATGGGAGGGGCAGATCAAGGCCCCAACTGTGATGGAGGGAGTGGGGCGGGGGGTACTGCCCAGTGATGGCAGTGAATGGGACCCTGGGGCTGGGGCAGGGAGAGGGACAGAGCTGCAGGCAGCTTGTCTGGAGTGGGGGGGGGTCAGTTTCCTGTTGCTTAAAAATGGCAGCAGGGGGGCTTTAACAAAAGCTTGTCAAATAAGCTTTAGTTCAAGCACTGCCTCTGCCATTTTTAAGCATAGAAATGGAGCAGAGCCAAGTGAGGCAAGGGTGAAGATGGGCTGCCTGCTGTGGGCTCAGGGCTCTCCGCCCTGCTGTCTTTGTCCAGGGGTCACACACTGGCTGCATGTCCTCTGCCCAGGCGGCAGCAGGAGGTGCAACTCACTGTCCCTACTGCTGCTAGGTGGGCAGGGGAAGCACATCCTGCACACAGCTGCCAGGGCAAAGGCAGCAGAGCAGAGAGCTGAATGTGCAGCCAAACTCGCACCTCCAAGGTTGCACACATCCATGTGCACATGTGCAGTTGCATGCATGCACATGGCATCCAGAGGGGCCCTGGCCAGAAGATGTATTATATTTATTGGTGACATTATTGGCTACACTGGCCAAAAAAAGCTGATGTTAATTTTCCCCTTATCAATGCCGATGTGATATGACACCGATATATCGGTGAATCTCTACTTTTAATTGCTTTCTAAATCTTCAGAATCATGTCAAATTTACACTGCCGGTTAAGAGGTACAAGCAACAGACAAGATTATGTATCTAGAAGGAAAAAGCCAGGGAAAAAATAGGTTTGGAGTGGAACAAAATAATGAAGACCGCATTTTCTTTCCCTTGAACCAATTATGACGCATAAAGACACAGTAAACCAACCCCCATCCACTAACAAGTTGGGCAGCCCTGATGTAGTTGAACCCCTACTGGAGGCAGACACAAATACACACTTAAACAGGAGAAACTTCCAAGTTTGCATCAAGGAAAAATGTTAAACAAGCTCTCCCATTGCAGCAAAAATAACCGTTTATATAGCCTCAACTTTACCAAATAACTATGATCAGAGCCCTGTGGAAAGTCTTTCTAATAATGCCTATGAATAAAATCCAGTAAACATTATCCTGTGTTCCCACTATGTAGCCCTAAGTGTCATTACACTCGCTTTCCTGGTCATGTCTAACTCTAGTTAGAACTAGTAAGTATATTTTCAATTTCAGTCCAACAGTCACAGAGTTTATTTCTGAATTCCAGTCATTTTTTAATAAAAAACTCAAAGCATAACAGAAATCTTGATTTATAAAGCTACTCTTAATCCAAAATGTGTGGATGTCACTCAATATCAATGCAGGTTTCTCTTCTGACTTCATAAATATATGGCATTCCCATCCTTTCCAATCCAAGAGTGTTGTGCAGCTCAGGTTTCAGTGTTCATTGTATTTTAGCCTTTAAAATAGCATACTTTGTTCAAAGTAGGTTATTAAAACAGCAACTTTTTGTTTTTTTAATTTTAACCTAGGCAGTTTGCATCACTCAATTCAAGTCAAATACATTACTTTGAAAAGATCAAGGGGTCTCAACAGATAAACTGCGATGGATTCTCTGCCACGTTCTGCTCCCTTTGCTCTACTGCTGAGTAGCTGGTGAGAAGAATTACCCTCAAATCTTCTGCCACAATCCCTGCAAAAAGTGGAGCAAAAACAAACTGCTTTATTCCTTCCTATGGCACAGAGAGTAGTACACCAGATGTGGCTGGACTGCACTGCACTGGAAACCCAGTGGCTAAAACTAAGTACTGGATCTCAGGTATTCTTTCTTTACCCAAACCATGGTGGCTGTTGGGGTATCAGTGCCATATTCTCTGAGGTGCTTCTTTTAGTGTCAGCACAGCCAATCAAGCTTTTAGCCTGTTCTCCCTGGAGCTACCAGAGCCACGCCTTTCTCTGCAATGCAAGAGATGACTGACTAATGGGGCTATGCTGACCAGCTGTATCAGGGAAGGAACGCCAGTAGCTAACAGCATTCCAAGCCTGCTGGGGAAGTTGTCTGCTACCTCCGTCCCCAAACAAGATACATTCAAATATAGCAATTGGGAATTCAAGATATAGCCCCAGAAATACATTTTCAACATAATCAAATACAAGATTTTCTTAAGTGGCTGTTAAGGACCAGAAGCTGAACATCATCATTTCAACACTGATTCAATTAAAACAATGTTGTATCCAACTTAAATAAAATTCAAGTCAATAAAAGCTGTACAGGTTTCCCTTGCTTCATGTAGGTTCTGTACGTGCGAATTCACTCTTATGTGATGACCCTTTTTATATCAAAAAACCATTATATGCGAGGTAATTTCACTCATATGTGATTGGTGTAGTAGAAGCCTGCAGTTAGCTGCTTTGTGTGGTGCATTGTGGGAGTGATGCGCATCAAAATATAGTCTCCTGTGTGGATCTATGCTCTTCGCTCATTCTGTGACATACTTCTGTAGTTGCCATCATCCCCCTTATGGTTTATAAGCATCCTGCTAGCATATCTCCTACCCTTCTCCCTGTGCTTGTCTGTATTCTCTGCTGTTGGTGAGTACCAAAATTGTCTTGTAGAAGTGGTAGAAATGGGTCTGGAGGTCAGTACAGTCGAGGTCTTGGAACATATCCCTGTTCATTACACTGTAAAGTGGGTTCTCTTTATGCAAATTTGAGTTATGCACCATTTTCCAGGAACACATGTACAGCAGAAAGTGAGGAAAACCTCAAAAGCATTTTTTTTGGTCAATTAATAATGCACCATTTTGTTTCTCCCACACAAAGGAGTGTTAATATCAACCCCCAGATGCAACCGAGTGGAGAATATGAATTATGTTCCACAAATTTTATTATTTATTTTGATTCCAAGTGGAAATAAAATATATGGAAAATGAAGCCTAAGGGGACTGGTTCTATAGCAATCTAGCAGCAGCAGGGAGTTCTGAGACTATTCACTGTCCAAGAACCACTGGTTCCCTAGAGCCACAAATGTTGGGTTCATCTGCCTGGCAAGCTGCCTTGGACTCTACAGAGCAGCCAAAGAATATAAACCTAGTCTATAAGCCTATGCTGTTGGAGAGATTTGTGGGTGAGGTCACAGAAACCCACCTGGGTTCCATCATGCGCTATCATCAGGAAACATTTTGATTAAAATATGCTGAATTGGCAAAAAAGTATCAAAATTCTGAAAAAAGTTCCAATGACTTGCCCTTGCACTAACTACACAAGTGCACCAAGTATCTTTCCATTCACAATTATACTGCATGTCCTAATTTAAACTTTAAAAATATAAAGTTCCACTTTTGCAGTTTTTTAAATACTATACATTTAAGTTGTAGGCTTCGGATTTTTAAGTAAAAGACACCCACCTAATGTTTCTTTCATGTAATAGTTATCAGCATATCCAACTGCACCTAGGTAATGGAATGGCCCAAGATCAATGCCCGAAACAGTCTCTGTAATAAAATGTTGGATATACTAACAATGTTCAACCTATGTTGAGCTATGTCATCCAGCCCGTAACACTGCCCATGGGTCCAGAAATTTGGCAACAGGGAAGCAGTGGCAGTGTTAACTGCTCCCAGAGCCACAGCAATTAATGCTGCCACCGCTCCCCCACCACCAAATATTCAGGCTCCAAGGGAACTCAATGGGCCTGATGACATGGCTGTGCGCACCAGGCCAGATCTGGAGTGCAGAATGCGATCTGATGCAAACGGCCAACCCTACACCATTCACCTGGCCCATGGGGCCACACAGGCTGAGCAACACTGCAGTATATTACTGCTTATATACTATGGCAGGGGTTCTCAAACTGTGGGTCACAACCCCCCAGGGGTTCATGAGCAATTTAAAAGGGGGCTTGGGGAACTGGCACGCAGCAGCAGCGTGGAGCAGTAGACGGTGGCGGCTGGCGCATGCAAGCTCCCAGTCCCCTGCCGCCGCCATCCAGCACTCGGGGTCATGGCATCACAAAGTTCGAGAACCCCTGTACAATGGAAATATCTTGTAGTAAGCTTGTAGCATACCTCTGATATCATACACATTTTTATTACTTGACGTTGCCCTCATTCTAAAAAGCCTGTGTATAACTTCAGGGAACAATAAATAAAAACCAAAATCCATTAACACCCTTAAAAAAACCAAAAACAAAAACAACAAAAAAAAAATCACTGAAAAACAGTGATTACAGAGACTGAAGAAAGCTTAAATAAGCAGACCCTATTATCAAGGGCACTTAAGTTATATGACTGACAGCTAACCTGTATTAAAATCAAAGCTGCCTGACTTCATTATTTGAATCAACTTTTAGTTTAAGACAACTGAACAGAGCTGTTCAGAAGAAAGTCTTTTAAATACATGCAAACTAAACATCTCCTCACGTACATCATGTTTCCTATACCCAGCATAGGAGAGGAAGGAAAGGGGGAAATCCTTTCATAGCACAATAACACTCAAGTAAGAAGGTCCCCAGGTTCACCTGCAAAGCAAACCAGACATAGGCAGGGTTCACCTATGCACCCACGCCTCGCTGCAAAAAATCAAGCTCCGGTCTGCAGCGTTGAAACACGCCAAGAAAACCTCTCCCTCTTTTTGAGGAATTTTGTTTTGCCAATGCCTGAAATCAAATCCCTTTCAAGGCAAATTAGAATCAATTTCGGATGAAGTTCACTTGACACAGCTACACTCTTTGGGGATTTAAAATCACAGGTGTGTCCTCTCTTCCCACGCCCGGGGGCAGGGGCCACGACAGTGATGAAAAGGCCACAGTACAGAAGTTGCTGCCAGAATGTAGGATTTTCTTCCAAGTGGAATAAAACATTTTTAAAAAAGCCACCCCCACCAAGCTGATGAGGGCTAAAATGGAACGGGGAAAAAAACGCAGCAAGAAAAGCGAGGAGCCAGTGCCAATAACTGAAGAGGGGGCAGAAAAGCCCTTTAGATACGATTATCCCCCAAACTACAGCACGCAGCAGCCGTTGCAGCTGTTAATGCGCGTTAAGGGGTCTCCCCCCACCCCTTGTAACGGGAGGGAGGGGAGAGACCGGCCCTGGCCTTTATGGCCGCATCGCCAACCCCACTCCTCCTCCTCCACCCGCACCACCCCCCGCGCTGGGGGAACCTCCTCCCGGCTTCGCAGGCCGCTTCACAGCTGCCGCCCGGCCCGAGCCATAGCGGGGTACGGCGGTTTGGTTGTGACACTGCGCTGAGCCCCGGGATCGGGATCCCTGCACAGGGCCACGCAGGGCTGGGTCGCGGCGCACACAATAGAGCGGCCGCCCGCCCCCTCCCCCACCCCATATCCGGGGACTATATGCGGGGCCCGGCGGAGGTTTCTCACCTCCCCGCGGAGGAGGAAGAGAAGCGACACCCCCTCCCCGGACCTTTACCCACCCTCCTCCCCCGTGGGTGCATCTCGCGCTCGCCCTCACGCGCGGCTTTACCTGACTCGGCGCTGGCCTGGCTA